AAAGTACTTTAAACTGTATAAATAATGTAAAATTAAATTGATTTAAACAGCCAATCATACGAATGTCTGCCTATGACAATAATAGTATGTACACACGTACGTATGCATACCTAATACACCTTTATTCGATCTACTTGATTGATATGATAATTTAAGAAATTGATTTTCAATATGCTATCAGTTTGAGTTATTTATAGGTCTTAAATTTCCTGCTTCGCACCTTTTTCCTTCACTGCCTAATAGGTGCCCGCCTTTGATTGAGAAAGATTCATTTTAAAATGTTTTCTTTTTTTAACCCAAATATTGATTCTTTAAATGCCTTGAAGGAAGAATTTGACCTTCCGAATTGTTATGCATCTGTTGAAGATGGCCATGACATCATGACGTTTGAGCAGATCATGGCTCAATTAGATCTTGATCCGGTTAAGCGAACAAAAGAAGAAATAATTAAAGAAGGTCACAAATGGATCGAAGATAAAATTAATGATTATGATCCTCACTTTTTTAAAACGAGCCATTTTGATATGAATGATGAATTATTAGTATTAAGTACATTATATGCTACTACTGATGATATCGATCATGTTCAGCTTGCTACCACTAAAGATGAAGAATATCTTCAAACTATTCTTTTTGAGGAGAAGAAAAAGATTAAGCAAAGAACAGAACTAAAAAAAATTATTGAAAAATATAATTTAGATACACTTCTTAAACTTGCAAAAATGAAGAAGAAGGTAGAATGGGGTGTCAGCATGAATCAAAAGCGAACATATATCATGATCGATGATTATCAAAAACATTTAGAAGAAACAGCACTGCTACAATTTTTGCAAAAGAAGTCTTATATAGAGAAATGGAAAGAAGGAAAAGAAAAAATTAATTATGAGTCTGTATACATAAAAACGTATTCTGTTGCTGATGAAACACGAAAGGCTATTACAAGGCGTGTTAATTTATATCATTTACGATGCTTGGATGCTACTAAACCCAAAGAGAAATTAAAAAGATTATTCTCTAAATTTATGGAAAAGAATCGCGAATATCAGATTGCTTTACGTATAAATGATACTCATTTGAAATTATTTGAAAAATTTTTTATGGATGAATTTGAATTTGAAAGGAATTTTAACAAAAGAAAAATGAAATTATTAATTAATGAAGAAGGTTATTCACAAATTGTGGATACTAATTGTGATTCGAATTTACGTTTATTACATGAGCATAGTGATTTATTATTAAACGGGTTTAGAAAGGTTATTTATATTAGTGACACTTTCGGCAAAACATATTCGAATAATTTTTGTAGCGACAACAGGAAAGTGTCTTATCTAATTATTGAAGAATTTTATAATTATGATGTTCCTTTTATTGCTTATTTAAATAGGATTTTTACGTTATATTCGAACGATTATCGTGACCATTATTAGTTATAGGGACAATTTTATTATATATTATATATATTTCAGTATATATTTAGGTAGCTATAGACGAAAATTTTTTTTTCATAATTTATGTAACCTCGTATAATAAACTAAGGGTATTTCTCAGGCAGCTTCTTTAGTGTGATTAGCTTGACCGAGATGTTGCTTAAAATCATTGCGATTAATCAAAGAACGCTTATTAAAAATTCATTGTGCGATGAATTTTAGCAGCTTTATGAAAAAAAAAGATGGTCTGCGCCTCCAGATTTTATTCATTGAAACTAGTGAATTAACCCGTCTAAAATCGCCACTCGGGTCACCCGATAGCTCACCCAGGTTAATTAAAAAACAAACCCAAGTGGTTAATGTCCCAAAAATAATACGTTGTTCTAAAAGTGATAGAAGTTTTTTAATACATCCATATCGTTAAAAATGCTTGAGAGTATTAGCAATCTTTCGGACTAACCCAGCGGAGATGTTTTGAAAGTATCATATTTCTGTATTCAAGTTTATAATATTTAGTTATATTTACATCGATATATCAATTTATTGAATCTATTATGCGAAATCGCCAATTTTTATCAGTTGTCCCAGAAATTATAAACCGTCCACATTACATTATGCTTATATAATACGCATGGTACATCTCTAAATGTGTGTCGATAATAATACAATAAAATAAATTCCAGATTATGTATGCAAAGAAATCAACTACAAGGGCTTAGCTTATTGATATAAAAAATAAAAGTAAAATATAGATGTATTCTAAAAATATATTCTTTTTTGTTTTTTTACCCTTCTGGTTTTACTATCTTTCCTAGGCCTTTTTTGTCCCGATTTTTCACTACGTGGTGAAGAGACAGTGGGACTTGGGTGAACATTACGAAGCGGATGTGGAATAGTAAGGGTTTCACCCGCCATGACATGCCAGAAGTTAGTAGAATTTCTGCATGGTCTACATGGAAATATCTTGGGATTCCGCTCGCGTCATCATCCTTTTTAGTATCATTGCAGATAATACGTGAACTCTCTAAATAAAGATACTCTACTAGCACTTTTCTAATACCATAATATCGGGGTTTTTGCCTATTTTTTTCTTGCCTGTTCCATCGTTTATACGTAACTTGCTAAGCTCTGACGCTCAGCAGTACTTAAACAAATATGTTCATTTGGCAAATTTCTTAAAGTGGCTCTAAGTAAAAGCATATTCACATATGTATGTAGGTTCCCTCATTCGAATGATGGGAATTGATGGTTTTTAGGAACATTAGGAACAAGTTTTTTGATCAACGCCTTTTCACTTTCCCCGAAATATGTTCATTTTGGGACATGCTGGTTTCAAAAGCAGGATTATTCCATATCACCACCTAAATTTATAGATATAAGTATAGAATCTGACAATACGTATGATTATAAAAAAGACAATTATTTACAGTATGCTAAGTATTCGTTTTGCAACTTTTTTCAACTCAACTCTTCCATGTCTTATCGTGAGTAAGATCATTCAAAATATCTGTCTCTGTCTTATTAAAATTATTCACAAACTCATCGCATTTCATATTCTCTTGTGGCTCCTAAATCGATGGGATTATATTAAGAGTATGTAAAGCATAGAACTTTTGAATCATCATCAAAATAAACACAATTTATTTATAGCTAAATTATTATTACCAAAAAGTACGTCTTTGTCGTTGGTTTAAATTCTTTACCAACTGAGATTCATCACTAATAACCGTACTTGATAGTGGATTTTGCCAGTTGTGCTCAGAAATATTTATTTTCTATACCTTTTTTGAGAGCATCATAAAGAGTTTCATCCTTAATTGACATGGGAGCGCCAAGTTTTGAATCTAATGCTTCAAGATTTTTCTTTATCTCTTCTCGTGTATAATCAAGGGTTGATTCTTGTGGTGCATTCAACGCCTTACTTTTATATCTGATTTCCATCTACAGCAGATAATATAAGTTAGATTTGTGATCACATTTTCCAAAATAACGCTAATATTTACACGTGTATAAATCAGATATAATTATTCAATGAATAATTAGCTATATTATAGCCACGCACAACCAGGGGGGCAGAAACCCTCGACATCATGAAGAAAAAAAACTCTTCACCACATCGCTCTTCTGGGCAGGCATTTCCGGTCTTTAACAGTGACCACTTATATATGTTGTGCCTCAGACTAATGCTTACCTCAGATCACAGCTGATGCACCTTAGGTGTATATTGTTATATGAGGTGCGTAACCTATCGATCGGTCATTACGCACAGAAAAAAAAAAAAAATGTATAGAATAAAAAGTATTATTGAAGTTGAACGTGCTGAGAAGACTTAAACAAGAAGAGTATGCAGTGAAAATTTGGCCAAAAAAAAAAAAAACTGCACGTATAGAAAAAAAAGTACATATTAATTGGAAATAGAATGTGTCACGAAAATTCGGGCAAAGAAATTTAAAGAAAAGAATGGAGGTGCTGAAGAGGCTTAATATAAAAAAATGCTACTGGAAGTAAGACGACGCCAAAATGATTCAAAGATATAAAATGCTACTGGAGTTAAAAAAAGACGCCAAAGTGATTTAAAGTAAAAAATGCTATCAGTAAGAAAAACGCCGAAGAGATTCAAGTAAGCAAGTGTCCAAGTCAAAAGTCTTTTATTCAATATAATTTACTAACTTACTTTCGTCAGATTGCAGTTTAGATGATAGATCGATAGTTTACGCACCTCACCTGACAATCTGAATCGGAGGTGCGTCAGCAAGCGTTAGTCTGAGGCACAACATTTATATCTCAAGGCACATATACCGATATACTAAATTATCAAGCTTGACCACGTGACTATTGACCGGCCATAACCAGTGTTAAAATTCGATCTTGTTTCAATATGCGGAAATGCTGAAATGCTTGATAATTTATAACTATAAAAACGGCGACGTTTGTAGGCTGGAGCCTTAATTCTTAGACCTTATACTTTAGAATTAAACTTAAAATATATTTGAATTTTATAGATAGCTATTACACATATTATATTTATAATAAATTCATAAGACTAGGAACCTAAAACCGGTGTGAGTCTGGAGCGACAAAATTTTAATAACTTTACTAAAATACACCATAAATATTAAATACTATATATTACACAACATATTAACCAATAAAATTTATAATTTGGTTTTTTTATTATATAATATATATATTGATATATACATATATTTGAAGCCAAAACAGTCCCGAATAAATTTCTACAACTAAACCATAATCTAACTCTAGCCCTAAAATCCCAATAAAATTATCCTAATAATTAATAACAGATTATATGTGGGCTTGATGCTACAGAAAAGGGGGAAATCGACAAAACAAAAGATCTTCGGAAGATCAATTTTATAATAAATCATAAGAAAATACAAACTTTAAAGAGCTATACTACAAAATTTTATTAATACAACTTCTTTCATGTTTTAAGTGAATAATGATCCTAACATTATTCTAAATTGAGTTGTGTAAAAAAAAAAAATTTGAAAATTTGTCGATTTTAGCACCAAGCCCATGTGATTACAGCCATTTTCAAAATGTGTGAACGATTTCCATATGCCTATGTAAAAAATCAAAGAATTTAGAAATTTAGGTTAGTAAGAATTATAGCTGTTTTCAAAAAGGTGTAAATGGTTACAGATATGAGGAATTCATGATATTTTCCAGATTTCCGGAGTTTTCAAGACCCGCTCTAATCAGAGGTTTAATTTTTACTAATCTAAAATCCAAATTCTTCGATTTCCCACATAGGTATATGGAAATAGTTCACACATTTTTCGATTAGGACAGGTCTTGAAAACTCTGGAAATCTGGGAAAATATCGCGAATTCCCATGACATGGTGATCTGCAATCGTTCACACCTTTTAGAAAACAGCTGTAAGGGCAAAGTTAGTTTGTGTTGAAATTATCGCCAAAAACACTTGTAGACCATTGCAATAACGTATGTTGTTGAGTTGTCAAATTAGTTGTACCGGATTTCAATGACACATCGTGTGGTTAAGGTAGCGTCAGTTTGTATTGGAATTATCCGTGACAGACCACTGTAATGACACAATATATTGTTTGAATTGGAATTAGCAATGACTCTATCGTGAGTTACTACAAAACATTCTACCACAGACTTACAGACCATTGTGATGACGCACAGTTTGTTGTTAGTTCGTATCGAAATTACCGAACCTTTCAACTTAATCCAATACAAAACTAACCCTACTTCCACAACTACAAATTCTTCCCGGTCATGGCTAGGTATGTCAACAAAATAGCCTGTA